GGAGGCTTGCAGGGGAATAGAGGGTGAGGAAGGAAGGGTGAGGAAGGAAGAGGAGAGGAGAGGAGAGGAGAGGAGAGGAGAGGAGAGGAGGGGAGGAGGGGAGGGGAGGGAGGGGACATGAAAGCGGCTTCTGCTGATGCATCTGAAGGTGGGTCTCTGCCCGGACATTCATGTCAACCAAGGAGGCGCTAGAGGAGCTGAAGGAGATGGGATACTCCAACGTCTGTACTTGCTTCACACAGTCAAGCAAGTCTCTCTACCGCTGCTCCCTCCTCCAAGATAAGGTCCGATGCTCTTCCTCGTCCTCGTCCTCGTCCTCTTCCTCTTCCTCTTCCTCTTCCTCTTCCTCTTCCTCTTCCTCTTCCTCTTCCTCTTCCTCTTCCTCGTCCTCGTCCTCGTCCTTCGCGTCGTCCTCTTCCTTCGCGTCATCGTCCTCCTTTTCCATCCCCTTCCTCCTCTTCAACCGCATCCTTCATTCCACTGTTGCTCCTGCTCCTCCTTTCCTCTGCCATTTTATTGTCATGCCCTCCTCTTCTCACTTACAAACTTTTCAGCTTGCGCTCTGGGTCGGCAACGAATTCGCTGGGTTGTCGGATGTTGCGATCAGTGCAGCGGATGTAGAGGTGACGCGAATCTCTGCTCTCCTACCTCCTGCTCTCTCCCGCTCCCTCCTGATCCCCTCCTTCTCTCCAACTCTCTCCTGCTCCCTCCATCTTGCTTCCTGCTTCCTGCCTTTCCTTCTCCCTCCTCCTTCTCATCCCATCTTAGCTCCCTCCTCCTCCTCTTCTGCCGTTACTTTCCTCTGCTAAACCCTTCACCCGTGTCTCCTCGTTCTCTCCTGCTCTCGGACTGACGGGAAGACAGTTGTACATTCCCATGCGAGGAATGATTCAGTCGCTGAACCTCTCGGTTGCTGCGGTGAGATTGAGTGAGGAGAGAAAAGTGTGGATGGGTGGTGGGGTGGTGATAAAGAGGGAGAGGAGAGGAGAGGAGAGGAGAGGAGAGGAGAGGAGAGGAGAGGAGAGGAGAGGAGAGGAGAGGAGAGGAGAGGAGAGGAGAGGAGAGGAGAGGAGAGGAGAGGAGAGGAGAGGAGAGGAGAGGAGAGGAGAAAAGGGATGGACGAGGAGTGCCTTTTTCAACAGGAGGAGGAAGAAGAATGAAATGACTGCAATGGTAGGCAATCTGCTTGAGTGAAATTTGTCGTCAAAGATCGCAGGAGAACGATGGCGAGAGGTTTGAACCATGGCCCCTTCCCTTCCCTTCCCTCCTCCCGCTTCATCATCCTCTCCATCTTCCCTTCCCATTTCCCTCCCTCCTCCTCTTCCACCTTCCCGCCATCACCTCCTTGCTCTCTTCCTTTCCTCACCACAGATGGAGCAGGTGGACGCTGTCGCAAGAGGAGCAGCAGAAGATTGCGGCCGCCATGCAGTACAGGAGGTGAGGGAGAGGAGACGCGTGAGGGAAGTGACGTCATGGCAGACGCGGGTTCCGAGAGAACGTGAGCAAGGAGAAGCGTGCGAGGTGAGCGAAGAGGAAGGAGGAGAGGAGGATGGGAAGACTGTGTGTGGAAGAGAGGAGGATGGAGATGGGGTTCAGGAGGGGAGGAATGGAGGGGTGGGGGGTCCGGTTGAAGTTACAGCTGGTGCTGACACGGCACAAGGATGGAGAAGACGTGGAGCTACCTGGTGCAGCAGTCGACCAAGGTAGAAGGACCCCTTGCGCATGCTGAAGTCAAGTACGAGTAGGACGAGAGGAAGAGCACAGCTTGTAGCTACTTGTTTCCTCCTCCTCCTCCTCCTCCTCTCTAGTCCTGCGTGTAGCTGTAGGCATTATCCACATTGAAGTAAGGAGAGAGAAAACTGAGCACAGCGGCGCATACGGCGACACCTGGAAGTTGAGGATGAGAAGGAAGATGAGGAGGAGGAGGAGAAGGATGAGGAGGAGGATGAGGAGGATGAGGATGAGGAGGAGGAGGATAAGGAGGAGGAGGATGAGGAGGACGAGGAGGAGGGATGAAACACCTGCTCCAGTGCTGATGTAGGACTGCCATGTCTCTTCCTCCTTAGCTGCTGCTTCCGGCTTTTCATCTCCTCCCTCCTTCCCTGCTCCTCCCTGGTTGCCATGGAGAGTAAGGTAGGAAGCAGTAGGAAGGAAGCTACCTCCGCCAGTGAAGTCGACGATTCTTCTCCTCCTCCTACTTCTGAACAAGTTTCCGAATTCATCTTCGACATGGAGGCTGAGGTGTATCGCTCTCCTTTCTCCGACGAGATCTGCGGGGAGCAAGCAAAGTCCTCCTCCTTGAGCTGCACCGTCTCCTCCTGCTCCGTCCTCCTCTCGCCAGGTGTTGAGCTCCCTTCTTCCCGTACATGATCTGTCAATGAGATCCAGTGAGAACGAGGAAGGGACACGAGAGGAGGAAGCGAAAGGGAGATCATGGCTGGTTGTAGTAAATGTTCAATGTTGTTCTGGAGGAGGAGGAGTAGAGCAGGTGGAGCAAGAGGAGAGGGAGAAGGAGGAGGAGCAAGTGGACGAGGAGGTATAAGACGCTGACTGCTACCGTTGTGTTCCGCCTGTGGAGTTTGCTGCAGGAGAACTCGAGGCTGTGGATGAGTAGGAGCAGGAGCAGGAGCAGGAGCAGGAGCAGGAGCAGGAGCAGGAGGAGATGTAGGAGTAGGGAGAGATGTCTGCTGCTCCTTCCTTGGCGATTTCTCGGCCCCTTGCTGCTTCACGTCGTTCTTGAAACAATCTTGCAAAAACTGGACGACCTGACACGCAGCAAGTGACGACGGACGCGAAGGAGAAGGAAGAGATGGAGGCAACAGGAGGAGGAGGAGGAGGAGGAGGAGGAGGAGGAGGAGGAGGAGGAGGAGGAGGAGGAGGAGGAGGAGGAGGAGGAGGAGGAGGAAAAAGCAGCAGGAGAAGGAAGAATCGGCAAGAGGAGGGAGAAGGAGGAAGAACCTGGTCTCGGAATTCGCTGGGACGGATGCTATTATGATCGCCTTGAAACACATTGATCTCCTTCCTTCCTCCATAATGCTGAAAAATTTTCTGCGCGTGCGAAGAAAGAACAAGCTGAAGGAAAAGATTTCAGCAGGTGGGAAAGGAGGGAGGGGAGGGAGGTGATAGCAGGGGAGCGACTGGAGGGTAGACATCGAATTGGAGAGGACAGGAAATGAGGGGGAAGGGAAGGTTGTGACGGGAAGAAAGGAGTGAAAGATCGACAGAGGAGAGGAGAGGAGAGGAGAGGAGAGGAGAGGAGAGGAGAGGAGAGGAGAGGAGAGGAGAGGAGAGGAGAGGAGAGGAGAGGAGAGGAGAGGAGAGGAGAGGAAGGGGAAGGGAGGAGAGTGGGGGGGACGCGCCTGGTCGTCAGAAGCGTGACCGATCAGGCAGGGACAAGAACATCTCGGAGCCACTGCAAGAACGTCCACGAAATTGATGTCGAAGTCAGCTCTGCAGAGCAAGTCATCAGATGAGAAGCGAAGAGAAGAGAAGGGAAGGGAAGAGGAGAGGAGAGGAGAGGAGAGGAGAGGAGAGGAGAGGAGAGGAGAGGAGAGGAGAGAAGAGGAGAGGAGAGGAGAGGAGAGGAGAGGAGAGGAGAGGAGAGGAGAGAAGAGAAGAGAAGAGAAGAGAAGAGAAGAGGAAGGAGGAGAGGAGAGGAGAGGAGAGGAGAGGAGAGGAGAGGAGAGGAGAGGAGAGGAGAGGAGAGGAGGAGGACAGCAAAGAGATAGTTTAGACTTCAACGCATTTGAGGTGTCAAGAGATTTCAAGGTTTGGCTCACTTGGAGAGGACAGCTACTCGAAGACTCTCGACAGCATCGTCGATCATCGACTCTAGAGGCACCAGAGGAATCTTCCCGACATATTTGTACGCCAACTCGGAGATGACCTGCAGCATCAAAATTCAGATGGAAATCCGCGGCCATCAATCCATCCATGAATCCTCCCTGCCTCCCTGCCTTCCTTCCTTCCTTCCTTCGAGCCCTCTATATCATTCCTCACTTCTTCCTTCCTGCCCTCCTCGTCTTGCCTTGCCTTAACTGCCTAAGATCTTGGTCTTTCTTCTGCCTCCCACGCCTTGTTCTCCCTCTCTGTCTGTTTGTCCCTCACACACACTCATCAACCTGTCTAACAGACGTGTAACAGCTGTCGAGCACCATGCCGCTGATGAGGTGATAGTAACTGCAGCAAACTCACTCACTTGTCACCTCATCACATCAGCATCAACCTCTCATCCGCAGCGACAAGCATCGCAGTCGCTGCCCCCATGCTTCTTCCGTACAGCCCGATCTGATAGACCGTAAAGATGTTGCGAGCTTGAGGCGCCTCAAACAAGATACCGAAGAGATGTTGCGGTTAGAAGACAAATAATCCAACACGCTCTTCAAATCATCACTGCACATTGTTGTCAGGGTTGCAAACGTCCGATCATTTTCCCTCTCCCTCTCCTTCTCACCATTCTTTCCACCCTAACGTCACTATGTCTCCATCCGACAGGCCGCAGCCACCAAAGTCAACCGTGAAGACTGACATCTGGAACCTGCAGGGTGAGAATGGAAAAGATGCGCAGAAGAGACCTGCTCCACTAAGAAAGAATCCACAACATCATCAGCATCAATGCGACTCCCGCTGTTGCCGTGAAGGTAGACAACACAAGGGACTGGGCTTGTAACCTGAATGGGAGTCAACGATGAAGACCGCATTCCAACAATATCACCTTCATGGTTTCTTTCACGACAGGGAGATACAAACTCCCCCGCAAGACAAGGTTCCTCCTTGAAACGATGTCTACGTCCTCTCTCGTACACATCTGCCCCTTGACAATGTAGCGATTGGGCCCCTGTACATCGTCATGGTCATCAGAACTTGAGAAACAGAGCAGGTCAGACAACCAGGTCTGCCACTTTGTACTCCTTGCGAGGAGGACGGTAGATCAAGCCAGCAAACATTTCTGCCATCTTCGGGTTTTGTTCGCTCTTGCGCTTGCACGCTCTTGCTCCGATCTGCCTCTTTGCTCCTCAAGTTGTCATGCTCAAGCAAAGATCTGCCAGCAGGAGCAAAACTGTCTCAGCCTGAAAGATAGATAGACGGAAAAACGCATCGAGCAACTTGCTCTCGGATACAATCAATTTTGGGAAATATGCATAGCTCCGAATGAAGTTGATAGTCCTAATCTTTCCTGATTAAGTAACGTGTCCTGTCCTGTCCTGTCCTGTCCTGTCCTGTCCTGTCCTGTCCATTGAACAATTGCCTTTACTTTTCGCATTGTTCGCCTACCCTTTATCTTCGGCTTTGCTCGGCTACGTTCATCACCTCCTCCCTCTTCTGCGTACCTGCTTCACCGTTCCTCTGCTCTGCTCTGCTCCCCTCTGCTCTCCTCTCCTCCCTGTCCTCTTCACTCGCCATAGACTTTTCACCTCCAACAATCCGATTAGACCTTTTTGATCCTGACCTCTAAATCTCAATGGTAATGATCTAATCTTCCACTAATACAAATTAACAGTTCTTAATCTCTGAGTGGCTGGCGGGCAGCACACAGTGCCAGTCCGCTGATCGGATCCGCCGGGTCCCCGGCGGACCGCCGCGGCTCGTGTGGGCTGGGCCCGGGCCCTGGCGGTGGGCTTCACCGTGAAGCCCCCACCGTGGCACTGCGCAGGTGAACTTCAGTTGAGTCCGAGTAACACTGTTACCGTCGGCGGTCGGATGCCTCGAAGCATACTAGGCTACTGATATAACACACGTGACAAGCCACGGTAGGTTGTAACTGACTCAGTGTGGTGTGTTCATTGCTAAGCTCAAAGAATATCTCACGAAACCTCTACTGTCCTCGCCCCGTTCTCATTTTCTCTCTTGTTTCTTCCGAGTCTTGTGGTGTTCTTAAATTTCTGTCCAACAGCAGGAGCGTCTCCTCCGTCCTTGCTTGCATCCTTATCGGCCTGCACGCCTCCCTGTGAGAACACTACAGCTCGCAGCTTTTCAGCTGCATTCCCATTCGCATCCTCCGCCCCGGCCTTGTTCTGAGCCTGCAACTTTGCCTTCGCTGTGTATTCCACAACAAGTCTTGCTGATTCCATCACGCGTGGGTCTGATTCGCCGTAGTAGGCTTTCAGGATCTCGTAATTCTTGTTCTCGTTCTTAACAGCCAGCGGGAACGCCTGCATCCTTACCAGTGCCACAGCAGTGGCATGGAAGGAGTTGGCAGTAGCAAGGTGTTGCTCACCCAGCATGGTCTCATTGATCTTGAGAGCTTTGTGCAAGTATCGCAATGCTGTCTTGACATGATTCAAGTCTAGGTGGATCATCGCGGTGTTGATGTAGATTCCAGCCACGTCAGGATGATTCTGACCGCACTGCAGCTGCAGCAGATATTCTGCACGCCCCATGTACTGCAAGGCCCTGCGGTACTGCTTGACATTGTACGAGTACAAAGCAAGATTGCTGTAACCCAAGGCCACCTCAGGATCGTCCCAACCCGAGACGATCTCCCAGATCACAATCGCTTTCTGCTGATACGACAGTGCATTCGCGAAGTCCCCGATCTGCTGGTGTACGAGAGCCAATGTCGAGTAGCACGACGCGATGGACGTATGGATTGGCCCACACGTCTGGTGCAGCACGTAGAGCGCCTCGTGCAGTGCCTCCAGCGCGCGGTGCAGGTTTCCAATCCGCTGGAACTTCTTCCCTGCTGACAACAATTCCTGCGCCTCCTTGCACTCATGAGAAACTCCCTTTGTGACAGGAAACAATTGAAGAATGTCCTCCTGAGCAAATGGTTGCGGGGCCTTGAAATCATACTCCCTTGCCTGGAAAACAAGCGTTATCATAGACACTACCACGAGTCAGTAGCACCTGTAATTGAATGCCAAACCGTTGGCACACTGCTCGCAACAAAGGAACACGGCCTACACGATCCAAAACCTTCATACGATCTTCCTCCAAAGTGAAGCTAAAGGGGGGGGGGGGGGAGGGTGGAGAAACACACAATTAGTGTTCGTTGAAACCAAAATATCAAGAAATACCAGAACTTCGACTTCGATTCTTGCTGCAAGGATTCCCACAAAGATGTTGATCCATACTCGCTCAGGGGGCCCTTGGTGTCCAATTCAGATGCGCCCATGTTTCTTGCTTGCTTCTTCTTTTTGTTTTTTTTGTCGTTCCCATCGGCAGACTTCCCACCTCCAGCTCTCCCGAGCAAGCAATTCAAGAAATGAGCACATACTGAAGCAAGAAAAATCAATAACCACATCAGTTACCAACACACAAAATGCTCACCGAAGGCCAAATGACTCGGACCAGTACGAAGGAGGCCAGACCTCAAAATGTACTTGCAGCAACGAGCGATGATCTCCCTTTCACATAGAATTTGAACAAAAGGAATCTCGGCTGCAAGCTCATGCAAAGATCCGAGATAGCGCATGTTGACTCCATGAGAATGCAAGGCTTCCTTCAGCTGCTTTCCCTCAACTGGTGAAAGCTCCAGAAACTTAAATTGGTTGATAAGGGAAGGAAGCACTGTGTCGACAAGGTATTTGCCAGCCTCAACAAGCTCAGCTTCATCTGCTGCTCTGTCATCGCAGACTGGACGCCAGGATTCCTCTGACAGATCCTCGGGATTCCTAACAAAGTTTACATTGAACGCTATCTTGGCGAGATGGTTCTTGGCTTCTTCTTCACTGTGCTCCTTCTCACTTTCAGCTGCCTGGTTCACACTGGCGATTACTTTAGAAATGGAATATGACCTGATAAGTTCAGGGCGGAGAAAAGCAGAATCAGCACGATGGTCGTTCACATTCATATCAGGTGGCATTATTCGGAGCAGATCCAACAAGTACTTCCTTCCATCGACGCCACTTATCATCTTGCATTCAGCCGGAAAGCAAACTTTGTGTTCTGTACCAGATCCATCTACAATCATGCTTTCTTTCATATGCATTTTTTTTGCAATCTGCAGAAGACTCTCGTGTGATTCTGGTGTCCAGAGATACTTCTTGCCATTTTCCACAGAGCCGTGCAGGACTGAATTGATCTGCTCTCCTTGCAAAATACCCGGGATAATCACTTGTGCAACAACTCGAGAGCCCCTGTAATCGATTAGGGCGGTTGCCAAGGTAAACAATCCATCTGTCTCAAGCGCATTGATTTGAGCAATCCCAATCAAATCCTGGTTTGTTGAAATGTACGTAGCTTGCTCACTGAAGTAGGCATCTTGTGACTTGTCCTTGGACATCGTTGCGTATGAAAAAAATATGTTGTTGTACTGGAACATTTGTTCAGAGATAGGATCCATGGGGTTCATCGAAGGAACACAGTTCTCTACCACAGCGATTGCACCACGAGTAGCAGCTTCAAGGAAATCCGAGGTCGTCTTAAACAAGGTACGATCGCGGAGGAAATATTCTCGTCGCATCGACTTTGGAAGTTCCTTCCCACCTTGATACTCTTCATTCCAATCTCGAGCACTCGCACCAACTTCCAAACCGTAGACAGAGACCAGGGAGTCTTCAAGTCTGCTGGGATCTGGTGAACACTCTGATTTCGTCGAAACCCAACTAATGAATGTTGATTGTGAGGACCATGATTCGAAGGGGTCTCGTGCTTGGCGGCTCGAAATCAGTTTAGTCCAGTTCCTCTTGAAAGCAGACGAGATAAGGCAAAGGAGACCAACCAGCGTGTAAGACGTCTGAGAGTAAGTCTCATGGTGCAGAGGATTAAGTGCTTCCCCATAGATTGTCCTATTCACAAAGAAGCCCCTCACAGATGCTGTGACACAAACCCGACGGTCGTCAGCAAGAACCACGTCGTAATAGGCGATGTCACCCTGCACCTTTCTGTACCCAGGAACAGGGTTCAAAGCAGACAGAGAAATAGATTTCAGACAGCGCGACTCTTTCAGGGACAAGTCCATGCCAAAGTCATACGCGAGGAGTTCTCTCAACGAAGAAGTCTCAAGAGGCCCTCGGTCTTCGTTCTCACCATTAGCCAACCGATCACCAGCTTCTTGGTCCAAGGCGGACAGAACTAGCTGACCTTCACTGTTCAGAGTTGGTAACAGCTGGTACACTGCATTGCCGGGCGTGACTTTAGGCGGAGCAAGGATCTCACGCAGCTTCTTGACGTGAGCACGCACCGAACGTTCCTCATAGCAGGCCTCCACCATTTGCAATGAGATTTCAATCTCCTTGGTGCCTTTAGACTGCCTTGCAGTCTCTTCCTGCTCTGGAGTCGCCAAGGTGTTGATCTCAACAAAGTCATTAACATCGGCACCGTCATGTTTCAACAGGTAGTGTGTGAAGTAGCAGGTTTCCAGAGTCTCCGACAAGAAATGCCTCACATCCAACAACGTATCACCGGCATTGAGTGTCGGTTCTTGAGTAAGGTTTCCTGCCAGTGTCTTGATTTTCACTTTGTAAAGCAATTCATTCGCCATGGAGTTTGCATCCTGCTCTGACTCCTCTGCGGTTCCATTGAGCTGGCCGTTTGGCAAATCCTTGCCGTTGCTGCAACACAAGAGCAATCACCAACATTTCAACAGCAGAACAGGAACGTACCAGCCTTCTGCACTCTCCATTTTGGCTGTCACCTGTCATTCCAAGGGGTTAGACGACTTGAGGGTAGCATTCGAAATTGTGGTCCACAGGATAGACAGAATAGAAAACTATGTGACAGTTTCTGCATATCTAACACATGTGTCCAAATGAAATCATTAGCACAGGGAGAAATGAACGCTATGTATTCAGACTTGCGCGAGAGCACGACAACAAGATAGCGCTATTGCTCCTAGCATGACCCAGCACAGAGTGACAGCCGAAGACGACAAACGCATCGCAAGCTCTTCTGCACAAGCTTCCCTTCTCCACCGCCCTCCCCGCTCCCCCTTCCATTGCGACCTGCTGCCGCGGCACGAGCAAATGGGGGGGTCCACAAGGCTCTTGAAGGGGGTGGTAACTCCACCCCTATTGGAAAAGGGGGGTGTCACCTACACCCCCAGGTGCCAGATGGGAAAAGAGTGGGTACTTTCAGGGAGAATACTGGGGTGCAATAGATTGTCTTTGATGGATTAGGGGTGGTGTGAAATGGAAACTGGGGGGTCTCACAGCTTGGGACTCAAGACAAAGGGGACTGTTCGTATAAAAGATTTGTTTTTGACATATATAAATTCAAAATTGTTTTTATCATGTACAAATTTTCTGGTTGAGCTACTATCAAGCTTCTACAGATTTACAACCTTTTTGCAATAACTCTTTTAATGGTACAATAATTCTCTCATTTATGTGAATTACATGTTTTTAAATAGGCTTGTACCTCTTTTAAAAATGGCCACAAACCGCATATGTGGGATACCCCTACCCTGGCCTTCAACATCGATAATAAGGTACCCTACCCCCTTTTGTATCTCTCGCTCAGTGATCATCTACCCACCCCCACGTGACACGATTTGGTGGAGGGCACTGCTAGCTCGCAAACACCAGCGTTTGTACGAGACAGTATAGAATGTTTTTGATAAAAATACTTTTTTGAAAATACTCCAATTGCTCTTATTTGAAGCAGTCGTCCAAAGATTGTTACTAATTTTGAAATTTTGAACAGAAAATATCAAATAGTTTGCTGACTGTGTCAGCAGGTCGCTCAAAAGGCTTGCGATTGCGGCCTAGGGAAAAGTATAAGATATACATGAAAGTCTATGACTGATACATCATCCGTGTTCAAGTCTTACCCCCACCCGTCCAAATATAAGATAAAGTACCGGGTACTCTTCCAGGGGCTACCTGGACCCCTTCGTGTAGAGAACAACTCGGGGGTGGGTTCAGCTCCTATACCGAGAGGGAGGAGCGGGGAGAGGCTACCAGGAGAGTGCATGAAGAAGAGACAAGCACCTCAATGGAATCTCATTATCCCTGTCATCTTCCTCACTCATCCCATAAGTCCTCTCCTCATGGTCCAGCATGTGCCCCCTCAACCTTCCAAGTCTGTCAAAGAAGACTCGCAGCAACAAAGGCGAGCGAGCGCATGAAATTCACCCTCCCCATCATCTCCCTTTCCTTGATCTCAGCTCTCCTCCTTCTGGCCGGCAACTCGTCAGACGCCAAGGTCAGTCGGCCTTCTCCTCCTCCTGCTGCCACCTCGTTCCTCCTGACATAGCCTCGACCTGGTAGATCGAAGCTCCGCTGACGGAGCAGAAGCAACGCCGTCTGCAGCTACACGCAGGGGAGAGGGTGTACGTTCCGCGATCGGGAGCCATAGAAGCTGTGAGCGCCAGAGGAGGAAGGGGATTCGGTGACCACGTGGCAGGTCGGATCAGGGGTGGGCTGGCCGGTGTACTCGAAGATCCGTGCGGCAAGTTGGAGGCAGCAGGAGCATCCTTATGCTGGGAGCTTCGCCGAGACGAGGAAAGGGAGGGGAGGCAGATGGCCCAGGGTGGGGGAGTATGGAGATGTGCCACGGATGAATCAAGACCTTGTGAATGATGAAGAGCTGAACAAGGTCAGAGCCCTGACTTGCTTGCTTGCTTGCTTGCTTGCTCTTTTGCTTGGTTGGTTGGTTGGTTGGTTGGTTGGTTGGTTGGTTGGTTGGTTGATTCCAATCCTCTTGTCTGGCAACTGTCTTTCCTCCTGTCTCTCTGCCTTCGTCTACCTCGTCCCTTCTGACATCGCTTGCTGTGCCTGAAGGCTCCTTGTAAAGAGGATCCGATCTCGATCGAGTGCACAGGAGGCTTCGGAGGAGGGATCAAGAGCACGGGGGGTCCGATGAACACAAGGTGAGAGGAAGGAGCGAGGGCTGGCGACTGAGAGGAGCGTCAGGGTGTTTTGGAGGAGAGACAACACGTTAGGGTGGCAGCAGGAGATGGACGGACCCGTCGATACCTCGCCTGACTTGCAGGATGCGCATGATTTGATGTACGGGTTCCCGAGAGACAGGAGGATGGGACTGACAAAGCTAGAGAGCTGATAACTTGTGTGTGTGTCATCAACAGCATCATCATAAACTACAAGAGCTTCTACAGTACAACATTCTCTCAAATCATCTACATACTTCTCCTCCTACTCCGCCGTCGTCATCACGTCACGACTGTTACATGCTTTGTGCCAGTCGCTGGATCTCTAGTTTGAGCTGCAGGCAACGTCAGCAAAGGAGGAGAGGACGGTGAGGGACCTTGGCTATCTCCACGTGCTGCTTCCTCGCAGCCTCCTCCTTCTCCGCCAGCTTCTTGTTCAGTTCGACTTTCTCGCACGTCCACTCAGTTTCTTTTTGCCGATGCTCCTCCAACGTGTTGCGATGGTGTTCCTAAGATCCTGTCAGACTCTCTCTGGTCGCTTCCTCACCGTCCTCCAGCCTCATCCCTCCATCATCTCCCTCCCTCCTGTCCCCCCTCTTCCTCCTCTTCCCTCTGTCTTCATCCCATACGCATGTGCTCAACACGCCTCCCCTCCTGCTCACCTTGAGGATATTCAGTTGTGTGGTCACCCGGCCAAGGTTGTCAGAGAGCTGCTTGATCTGAGCCCCGATCATTGCAGGGTACTTGCTCCCCGGCTGTGTCTCCTGCACTCCCTCCTGCTCCCCCTGACCAGCTCCCACCTCCTCCCACTCCCTCCACGCTTCCTCTACGGCTGGAACGTTCCAGTCCACATTCACGTCCCATGTCTTCGCCTCGTAGGGCACCAGAGTGTTGTGCACCATGTTCAGCACCGCTGCCTCCCGCAGACTTTCCAGCCACTTGCCCAGCTCGCCCTCATCTTTCGCCCTGCAGTAGAGGTGCCTGCACGCGTCTGGTCCCCGGTAGAAGAAGCCGCTGGGTCTCAGCTCGAGAGTTGGGATTCCGATCTCCTCCACGTCCTTGGCCACCTCGTCGGTTCCCGGAGGACCGTTCCAGTGCGTGGCGGAGGAGGCGTCGAGCACGAAGTAGCCATCGAGCACAACCTTGGACACGGGCAAGGCTTCAGTGGGCCCCGTGAACAGCAGAAGTTCGTTTTTGCTCAGGACAGCCCACAGGGTCTCCCACTTCCTCTCCCCCTCAAGCAGGTTGTTCAGCCACGCGTTGGGCAGTCGTATACCGACTCGTACCTCGTGTACGAGCAGCCAGCCCTGCCTGCCGTTACCCTCGGTGACCCTGTCCTTATCCTTGTCCTTGTCCTTGTCCTTGCCTTCTATTTTCGCCTCCTCTCGCTCATCCTTTGGTGTCTTCTCGGTCTCAACCTCCTCAGATCCTTGCGGGCGCCCAACTGTTTCTGCTCGCCGAGGATTCTCTCCACCTTCTCCTCCACCTCCTTCATCTTTCTGCACTTTCGCGTTCTTCTTTCTCGCCCCTTGTGTTGGTTTCTTCACCTTCACTTCGCGCAGCTCCTCTTCCAGTGCCTCCTTCCGCCCCTTACACGCGAGGGCCAGGAACTTCCGGTCGGCTACCCGAGCCTCATGCCTCGTCTCGGTGCTCAGCTTCATCTCGCTCCTGGCCATGACCCCTCGGAGCGCGTCCGCCTCGTTCGACCCAGCGATGGTCACACCATCCCCCACGCACACGAAGCTCACTTTCTCCTTGAGCAGACGCAGCAGCTTTGGCCTCCTCAGGATCATCTTCTGCTTCTCAGCCATTGTCAGCGTTGCCGCCGGCCTTTCCTCCGGCTCCTCCTCCTGCCTCTCCACCGCCTCAAACATCTCCTCGTATGCCGTCGAGCTCCCCTCGCCCTCGCGTTCAGGCGGATCTGCTGACAAGAGATCGTCATGCGGCCCGTACGGCTGCTCGACGAGCCCGCGAGACACGCAGGGGCCTCCTGTGGCTGACAGTCAGGGATCGCAGGCACAAGAGAGGAAGAGAAACCTTTCTGGGCGTTGAGAGGAGCAGCATGCCCCTTCATGTTCTTGCCGAAGAGCGAGGACTGAACCTCATCGAGGATGGATGACACGTCGATGTTTGGATTTAACCACAGCACTTGACCCTGCGAGTCGACCTGATACGCGGCCTCCTCCTCCTCCTGCCTCGCTGCCTTTGCGTTCTTGTTTGGCTTGAACCCTTGGCAGATCTTGTCGAAGCAGAGCTGCCAAACTTTTCCGGCCGTCGATACCTCAACCGACATGGATTTGCTGACAGCCACGTTCATCTCCTCAACGGCTGTGATTAGAGCTTGTAGCTCCACGATCTGCTGAGACCCGTTCTCTCCTCCGCCCACTCCTGCAACCGACTCGCCCCCACTGGGTGACGCCTCTGCTGGCTTCCAGCTGGGGTGGAGGGGAGGAAGGAAGTCCAATAGAGAGAGCGGGAGGTCGAAGAGCGAGACGAGCTCCCGGATGTTCATCACCAGCTTGTACCTCAACGTGAACAGCTTGTCCGGCTGGACCTGAGCAGCCAGGGCAGCTCGGAGAAGCGCTGGAGGGTAGCGATCGCAAGAGCCTGTTCCGAATCTTTCCAATCCTTCTTGCTGCACCAGGTTTCCCTTCAATCTCTCAGTGAGAGACTTCTGCTTCGGAGGCTCCAACACTCCCCCGTCCTCTTGCACTTCAACTTTATCCCAAACCCTGAAGTTCTCCTGGAATCTCTCAGGATCGGAGATTACCGAGCCTCCTCCCCACATGTAGACGTTGCCTCCTCTAGCGAGCGCGGCAGTCCTTGTCCCCCCGCAGGAGATCTGCACGATGACAAATTTCCTCAGACAGTTTACACGAGTCGGAGTCAGACTGTCCTCCTCCCTTCCGCTGCCCAGGCTGACCACACAAATCAGTTCACGTCAGGAGGAACGTACAGGTACCTGAAGCCTCTCCCGGACCCGAAGCAGAAGATGTCTCCTCGGATCGTCAGGTACGCGCTGTGCCACCTCCCGCACGACATGCTCACGATCGTTCGATCCTCCGGCATTGGCAGCTTGTGGGGGCTCAGCACCTCAGACGTGTGTCCGAGCCCGTGGCATCCTCCCGTTCCTCTCCCCCAGCCCCAAAGTTTTCCATCCTCTGTCAGCGCTAGGCAGTGATGCTCCCCGCACGCGACTCGGATGATCCGATCCTCCTCTCTCAATCTCACCAGCGAAGGTTCTAGTCTGTCCTCACGGTCGCCGAGCCCAAGGCAGCCATGTTTCCCGCTGCCCCAGGAGAACAGCAGCCCTCCTCCTGTGCACGCGAATGTCGTGTTAGTCCCGCAGGCGACGTAGGACACGACAAGGTCTCTCAGTCTCAGCACGAGGTTCGGCGTCCACTGATCATGTCGCTCGCCATTCCCGAGCTCTCCGTTCAACCCCCTCCCCCAGCTGTAAAGTTTTCCATCCTGCGTCAAGTACGCGCTATGGGCAGCACCGCAAGCGATCTGTACAGCCGTGCAGTTCTTCTTCGTGCTCGCCAGCATCTTAGGCGCCGAGCTGTCTTGAATGTTGCCATGGCCCAGCCGCCCGTTCAGTCCGATGCCCCACGAGTAGATCTGCCCGGACGAGCACAGGGCGGAGCAGTGCTGGGGCCCGACGGCGACTTGGATAACTCCCTTCTCCTTGAGGCTCTTGATGGGCTTCGGGTACTTCTCGTTGGCATGAGACCCGTGCCCGAGGCAGAGGTTGAACCCTGTGCCCCACGACACCGGGTTAACAAACACGTTCCTCCTCCTCCTGTAGAACCGCCTCACTCGGCGAACGCGCCTAAGCCTTGCCTCGAAGTCGTCCCTCGGCTCTAACTTTTGGTCCAAGTCTGCTAGATCATCTTCACTGTCGCTCCCGCGCTCATGATAAGCTTGCCTGTACAACAAGGTATCAAAAACCTCAAGGTCAGAAAGCCGATCAGAAGGCTCATCAAAAGGCCTTGGGTAATGAGTGGGAGAGAGCACGAACACGTCATTACCTCATAAACTCTGCACGAGATCTCTCGTTTTTCTCCTCGTCCGACGTGTCGATATCGGAGCTTGCAGTCGAAGGTTCACTCGTCCAATGCGAATCCGCATCACTTGATGGCTCTGACTGTTGAGACGCGGATGCGCTGGAGTCAGTCTCCTGCTCGTCCTCCTGCTCGTCCTCCTGCTCGTCCTCGTCTCCCCTCTGCGACTGGGCGGATGCTTCAACATGAAGAGTCACTCCTGGTTCAATCTCATCTAGGGAGTCAATCGGACACAAGAGGCGTTTCGTTTCTTTCACTGGAGACTCGCGTGGTGACGCAGCGGCAGTTACAGGCTTCTGGTGAAGAGGTTCCTGGCAGATCCCCTTGGGTGGTTTGATGCTGGCAGCTGCTTCTTGAGAGTCGTTCGCGGCCGCTACTGTAAGAGGCAACTTCCAAGCCATCAGGTTTGGCACGGGAAACTCCTTCTTTCTCCCCTGACTTGAAAGCAGCCCGGGAGTTGCGAAACCCTTCGTCTCCTCGTCCTCAGCGGATGAGATGAAGGACGAGGCAGCAGGCGTGCATGAAGCAACGACCGGCATGCGCGAAGCAGTAGCATCAGTCTGACAAGCAGCAGCAGACGATGCCTTGCAATTCGATGCACTCACGTCTTCGCTTCGTTGACTTCGAACTGCACGCTTGGCATCAAGTGTTTGAGACGGACTAGCCTTCTCGACTGACAGTGTTGACTTGAGGGGGAGGTTGGAGTTGATATCATCAAAGTCGTCAAGCTTTCTACTTTCAGGCGTACAGGGAGTCTCTGAGATGGTGTTGGTATCCGAGTTTGTCTCCCACGTCTGGTTGTGACTTGTCTTGTCATGATGTTTCACTTTCTTCTTCTTCTTCTTTGCTGCCGGAAGAGAAGCAGCAGCTCGTAACGCCACATCCCACAGAGAAGACTCATTGATGAGCTGCCACCAGGTTCCAATTTCATTCTCAGTCTCAGCCCTCAGCAAGATCTTGCGATGTGTTCCCAATAGTGTGCTGATAGCGCTGTTCTCAAGCACCAGAGTTCGCTCAAACGATGAATGCCGTTGACAGATGCACCCGTTCAGTTGGATCGACAGCATACTCTCGGACTGATCGTTGAGCAGAGCGACTTCTTCATCCTCATAAACAGCAAGTACGCAATCTTTGAGCACTATCCATCGAGTCTCGAAGGTAACAGCATTGCTTTCGAACCATCTCACTCGCTGCTTCTCCTCGAAGAACTCCAAGGGTCCTTCCCGACTAGGAGGCAGCATAGACTCTCTTCCTAGACGTGACATGTTTGTCTTGGCTGCAACTTGCTTCGATCACGACTTTCCAGTCTCAAACATCCTTGTTGAACTTCAAATAAAGTAGTTGATTCATGCTCCTTTTCTTTGTTCCTGTAACAAGCACGACCCACACATCCTCTGCCTTCACTCTGCTGTTCCTCCCTCCTCCTCTATCTCCTCCCTCCTCCTCCTCCTGCTGCACCTTCGCTCCTGGCTACTTCTCACCCAGCCATGGCGGCCCTTTCATCACTAGAGGTCAGACCCCTCAACCCTGAGAAATCTTTGCTACCCCATTGAATGACACCAGAACCCCTTCATTACCACAAAAAAGATATGACCCCTGGTGATATTCAACCCACCCCTACCCCCACGGGATCTGATGTACCCAACTTGTGAAAAATGCGAAAAATTTGTTGGGGGCGAGTAGTGGAGCACAAAGGGGAGGAGAGGAAGAGAAGGGGAGGAGAAGGGGAGGAGAAGGGGAGGAGAAGGGGAGGAGACGATAGATCAGAAGGTTAGCAGAGGATAGAACAGCAGAGAAGATAGCGAGGATCACCAGCAGAGGGACGAGGAGGAGAGAGGAAAGAGAGGGAGGGAGGACAGAGGTAGAATGGCAATCAAAGTGACTGTCAACGGAGGATCAGCAGCGTGAACGTGGAAGAGAGGATAATAGTTGGGTGAAAGGCACTTGTTTCCTACTTGATGAGCTCGGAGGCATGCGAGGTGAAGAGCTAGATGAATGAGAACGGACTCGGGCTTTCAATCCGTCCCCTCGGATTTCTAGAAATCTTGTTCGCCTCCTTACTTGTCTTCATGAATTTCCTTCAAACTCTGGGCTATCGACTCTCCCTGCCAGCCAATGATGCTGCACAGTGCAGCTTAGCCCCACTGACAAGAGAGCTGGCGGGAGAGCACTGGGAGGCAATGTTCAACGAACTTGTAAGGTACAAGCAGAATCATGGGCACTGTGTTGTGCACAAGTCAAACGACACGAAGCACCTTTTGAAGTGGATCAAAGTGCAGAAATTTCGCAACAAGAAGTTGTCGAAAGCAAGGAGGTTCACATATGGTCAGGCTGTAGACACTGATCATGCGGAGATTGAGCTGCAGAGGCTCTTGGATCTGGGCCTGATCTTCAATGCCAAGGAGGCGAGTTGGGTGAAGTTCTTCGACCAGTACGTCGACTACATCCGCACGTACTCCGACACCAGTCCCACGTTTCGTTTCCCTCAGAATCCATCGTGAGACTATCTCCTCGTTCCGCTCTCTCACTGACGTGCCTCCTCTTCCACCCCCTCCTTCCACTCCTCCTGGCAGGCTTGGCGTGTGGGTCGCGCGGCAGCGGCAGCTCTACCATCGCGGGATGCTGCAGTCTCGTCGGTGGAGGAAGCTTCAGGCCATTGGGTTCGTGTGGAGCGTCGCCTATCCCTGTGAGTGACTCGCCGATGCTGCGGATGCGCTTGCGACTTGCGGCTGACGCTGCGCTAGTAAGGAAAGGTCCGACGAGCCGCGCCATCGTCGCTCCTCAGCTGTGCAGCAGAGAGGTTCGTTCCCTCCCGCCCCCCCGCCCCCACGTGAACTTGGGGGCAGGGGTGGAGGGTCAAAACTCATCAGAGGGGGGTGATGTGAACTTGGGGGTAGTGGTGGGATGATCCCTCTGTTATGCTTGAAGGCACAGGCAGGGCTGGCGAAGCGATGGCTACTCAAGCGATAGAAGATGCCTTAGAGAAGAAGAGACGGGGAAGAGAAGAGCAAGAGGAGGAAGAGAAGAGAAGGAGAAAAGTAGAGAGGTGGCAGAGTGAGCATGGTGAGACGAGGGGACGGAGGGATGGGATGGAGAGGAAGGTTGATTAAGCCAAGGAAAGCTTGTCAGCCAGCCGCCAGCCAGGCAGGCAGGCAATA